TGCAGCCTCAGGATGATTAATTAAAATTCTAGTATAATTCTCTTTTCTCTCATTGAAAATACTGAATTGAAACAAATTATTATTTAAAAAATATATATTATTATTAAAAATTTCTAGTTATACTGCTTATATTGACATTATTTATTAATTTTATTATAACTACTTATTTTTATTATAACTACTTATTTTTGCACAAGATTTATATTAATATATATATATCTTAATAATTAATATATATCTTAATATATATCTTAAGATAATACTTGATTTTTCTCTTTCAACAGGATGCTAATCGGTGCACCTTTGGATCAAAATAGACAACCAGGCACAAACAGATCAGGAGCGTTATGGCAATGTCCACTAAGTACATATACAAGGGACTGTACTCAAGTTATTACAGATGGACGGTTGAGTATGTCCTTGTATATTTATTCTATTTCTTGTCATTTATCTCTATATTTTGTTAATTGTATTATTGTGATAACTTTTTTTAAAAATATGTATTTATAATACTATCGTACAATTTAATAATTTAATTTATAGTGCTGTATTAATTAAATTATTATTATTATACTCTCTCCATCAAATTCTGCTCAGTGTTTGAATGCTAAGATTAGATCAAGCACATCTTTATGTATTAAACATGTTCAACAATGAATCTTGATTTAATCCAATAATACTTATACATCACACATTTGATATCTATTTAATGTTATACTATATATAATAAGATGCTTTTTTGTTAAATCATGTTTCGGTAAACCAGTGGACGATGGTCTATTATACAGACCATACGAATATGATTCAAGTAAGTGTATAAACTTCAGCAAAGTCTTTGCAGAATGAATTGAATGAAAAGTTTGAAGATTTTGACCAGCGGTTTGCCAGAGATTGCACTTTTCTAAATAAAAAGTATACATACATTAAAAGGCGAGAAAGCATGTGATGTAAAAAGTTAATCTCTATTATCTGTTAATTATATGTTAATTCTTTTGGATCAAAGCTTGCTCTTCTTGAAAATAACACAGAATAGAGATGGAATATTTCCTAAGACTAATAATATCAATTAACAATAGTGATACATAATTATTTACAGCACTTTTATGTAACGAATGCAAATTGTCGTTCTTTCTTGCTTTTACTAACATTTTTTTATTAATTGTTTTCATTTTTATTTATTACTATCATCATGCATTTTTATTTATTATTGCTATCATCATTACTTATTCAGATTTATATGTAAATTTATGCATGGTCATTACAACACGAACGATATTAATCTTTTTACTCAAAATTGTATGTAATTTGATAATATTGTAGAAATAAATCCAATTTTGCAGAAATAAAATCTGCTATTGATTTATTGATTATTGATTATTGTTTTATTTATTATGATAAATACTTTACGTATACACACACACACACACACACACACACACACACACACACACACACACAAAACACATTTTTATATTATATTTTTTTAATTTTATTAATTTTCTTTCCAAATTTTAATAATTTTCAAATATATTTAATTTAAGAATATAATATAAGTATAACTACATATTACACGAATAAATCTTTATCTGTTATTATTATTATGAATAGAAGATTTGCAAAATATATAAAAAATTCATAATTATTATAAATTCTTAAAATATAGTATTTCCCTAATATGATTCCTTCATAGTTTTACGTTTGTGAAAAGATTACAATACTTTTTCCAGATTTGGAATCGGATGATTTAGTACCGCCGGGCAATGACGAAATAAAAGACAATCAATGGTTAGGAGTTACTGTACGTAGCCAGGGAGTAGGAGGTAAAGTTATGGTAAGTAAAGAAAATTAGTAGACAATCATCAATCAAATCGACGATACATATCACACAGATTTTCATTTTGATTTTATGTATATTCTCAGGTATGCGCACATCGCCATATTGTGAAAACAGCCGATTCGCAATGGGGTCAAGGCCAATGTTACATACTGTCTCAAGATTTAAAATACGATGATTTAAAAAAACCATGCTCTGGAAAACCTACTAATAAGTAATATAAATAAATTGCCTAATTTCTGAATATTCTACATATTTACAACACTTTCTTAAATTTCTTCAGCTAACTATCTTGTTGCTTGTAAAACTCAATTTTTCAGAGCTCATGAGCAGTTTGGTTACTGTCAAGCCGGGACTAGCGGTTTATTAACCGCTGAAGATCGTGTAGTGATTGGTACCCCGGGACCACATACTTGGAGAGGAACTCTCTATCTATTCACCATTTCTGACGAATTTTTAACTAGAGACAATACAGTTTACAACGCACCAATGCAAGATTTTTCGCCTGTAAACAAATATAGTTATCTCGGTACATAGCTTTATTAAAAATAAATTATTTTTTTCTAAACTTTATTTAAAATAAATTCTTATTATAAATATTGTCCGAAAATTGATGCAATTAAATTAATTATTTTTCCTTTTTATAATGTTTGCTACTGAATTAGATTCCTTTTAATAAGTAATTCCTTTAACAAGCTAATATCACATCAATCTTTATTTAATCTATGTTTGATGTTATAGGAATGTCCGTAGCCGTTGGAAACTTTTTTGGTAAGGATTTAGCATATGCGGCAGGTGCACCCCGTTCTAATGGTACAGGCCAAGTAGTTTTATTCACTAGACGTGATTTCAAACCGGACATGGACGTTGCCCTTGTTCTGGATGGTGAACAATTCGCCTCAAGCTATGGATACGAGATCACATCGGCAGATATAAACGGAGATAAGTAAGACAATGTTTAATATATACTCGTATTTAAATTATTATTACAAGACACTACGTGTCATTACGTTATCAAGAATTTATTTATTTGTTCATTTTGTTTGTACACTTTAATTTTTATTATATTTTAGAGTAACTGATTTGATCGTGGCGGCACCGTTTTATTTCAACAAAGCGGAGGGTGGAGCTGTCTATATTTATACAACGTTAGATTTATGTCGAACTGTCAATGACAAGTGTTCGCCTGTCAAACTCGTCGGTCATGAGGAATCAAGGTTTATCATAAAATTTACATCATGTTTTATTTGGATGGATATTAAGTATGGTAATGACAAATTGACGATAGGTTTGGATTCGCATTGACAAATTTGGGTGATTTAAACAAGGATGGATATGAAGATATTGCAGTTGGCGCTCCATACGAGGGAAAAGGCACAGTTTATATTTATCTAGGTTCCAAGAATGGCATAATTAAAACACCTTCTCAGGTAATAATTTTTTATATAACTCATTAATTTACTCTATATATAATTTTAATTTCTTTTTAAACTTGTCTAATGCCTTATTTAATGCAATTTATCATTTTGTTACATATTATTATTATTTGACAGATCATTCACGCTGAAGATATGCCCACGTCATTGAAAACATTTGGTTACTCGTTAAGCGGCGGAACCGACATGGATCAGAATGGATATTCTGATCTCCTTGTCGGAGCGTATGAGAACGATGCAGTCGTACTTCTCCGTTCTAAGAAAATAATCGATATATCTACTTATATACGTTATGCGAAGAAGGATGGGATATATCAGAATACAATAGAACCTATCGATCCTAATAAAATTGGATGTTTGGCTGATTTGAACTCGAATCACACATGGTAATAATAATTTTATATAGATAAATTGTAATATATAACATATAATTCTCTTCTTCTTATACATATAGTTACACTATCTAGTATAAAAAGGTGTATATATAT